AAGACAGTACAGTAATAAACTAGAGTCATGGTCAAATATAGGAAAATATACGGCTCATTGTGAAAGAATTTTGTAGTTGCGCAATTATGAATCATAGTTTCGTTCTTAGAAATTTACGTTTAAAAATAAATAAACCGGGTTATATTACATTCCGCCGTGGTGAATCGGTGACATGGACTTTTTGATTTTCAAATATATTTTCAAATATACCGAAGGGCGGCATTTTAAAATCACACTGTCCGTCGGTCTGTCTGTTTGTCTGTCTGTCGGTCTTTCTGTGCGTCCAAACTTACACAACATTCGCGTCCGATCCTTAACTTTGTCGTGCATAAATAACCTAGCATATATATATATGTCCCCTTTAAGACCCATGTAAATACCTACACGGTCAATGTCACACTTATAGTTTAAATGTACTCATTCTCACAAGGAGAGTGTGAAGTTCCGAATTGTAACTTTGTCGTGCATTGAAGGATTTTAAAATGATTGTCCACCACTGTTCCTTGACGATATTTTCCGACATTTGAAAAAAAGTAAATTCCAGTTGCTTGTGAAATTCTAGGCATAGTATTTAAACGGTTGTAACGTTAACCGAAAGAAAGATTTTGTTTAAAAAAATTGACGTCTCGCGTTAAGATATAATAGAAAATATTATTTTAAACAATTACAATGATTATTGTAGGAGAATCTGAAATGTCAAAACATCAGAGGAGTCCCTTTAATTAGGTTAATATAAAAATTATTAGAGGCAATATTGAACAAATAAATATTTAAAAAAAAATACACAATCTTCCTTGACCAAAACAACAAATGTTCCCTAGTTCACAAATATACAACCTTTTATATCTTTTCAGTTCAGTCGTCAGAAAAATTAGCATTATATATTTATTTGAGTGACAGACGTTGCTATAGGAACGACGAAACGTTTGCCTTTGATGTTGAGGTATTCAAACTCAATATATATACTCTATGCTTTCAAATTATTGCAATTTTAAGTCAATGTGAACAAAGAGAGAGAGAGGGGGGTGAGGCATGGAGAGAGGGAGGGTGAGAGAGAAAAAGATTTGCAACATGATTTTTAACAATGCATAAAAATTAGAGTATTTTGAGCAAAAATTGTGTCCTACATTAAGATGATTGCATAAGTCTTAACCACCTGGAACAAAAGTTTAATAGCCTATGTTGCATAAAAATGCTCGCAGCTATAGAGTGATGGGGCAAATAGTTTTAAATGGATTTTTCTAAATTCAAAGCTGGACAAGTTCATTACGCAACGTCGGTAGGTAAAAAGTTAATGGTTTATACTTCATGTTTTTAACTGTTTAGATGCATTAACTGACAAATTATCATTTAAAATTTGTAGGGAAAACAATGTAGACTTTAATCGATTGTTTCATAAAATCACAGATACTCGGGGTGGCACAGAGGTGACATGTGTGTGTCTGTGTGTTTATTTATCTGGTGCGCACGTGGTACTGTGTCGTGGCCACGAGATTCTATGACGTGGTCACGAGTTACTTAGTCGTGGCCACGAGATAATTAATCAATTAGATTACACTATATATATTTATCAATTTTTTAAACTTAGAAAATTGCTGTTTAAAGTTTTACATGAAACATTAACTTTTGGAAATATATCGTGCGCATCACTTAAGTATCTCATGGACACGACTTAGTAACTCGTGGCCACAACATAGTATCTCGTGCGCGCCACTCAAGTACCTCATGGCCAAGACTTAGTAAGTCTTTGCCACGACATAGCATCTCCTGCGCACCACTTAATTATCTCGTGGCCACGACTAAGTAAAGCCTAGGTCACAAATAAGAAAATGCCGCCGGGCGGCGTCTGTTTCTCCAAAAAATCGCAATATCGGCCGGCGTCCGTCCGGCGGCAGTGACTATCGGACGGCAGCAGCTGAAAATTTTGCTCATCGGGCGGGCGCCTTCGAGTTTTAAGTAATACTTAAAAGCTAACGGCGACCGGACGATAATTTTTGGGGTCACTGAGTATAAATATCATCGAGGGGACATCGTTCGGTCGCCGGGCGGCGACCGGGCGATGATTTTTTTGATCGGGCGATTTTTTGTTCTACTAAAACAGCGTTCGATTTAAAAGGCGTCCGGGCGGACATCGGCCGGGCCCCGCCCGGTGCCTGAATAGAGCTAAGTAATCAAACGATTATCGCCCGGTACCCGGACGATTCATGTACAGGCACCGGACGGTCATCGTTTTGTCATCCGGCGACCGGGCTGCTTGTGTTTGTTGTAATTTCAGCTTGAAGAAGTTGTAATTGCCTCAAAAATATATTTGTGAATTTCTTTTGAATACTAGTAAACATGAATTTTTTCTTCAATGTCCATGCGAATGTCTGATTGATTTTCGCCTTCTACGGCCTCGATACTGGCCGTTGGTGACTCGTTGTCGACAACACGGACCAACTCCTTGGCCTTCCACTAGGGTTTGGCAGCTGACTTCTTTGCTGGCATAATTACAACTGGCTGATTTATCTAGGATGTCATTAAATGTAAAGTCATTGTCGCCCGGCGCCCGCGCGGCAACCGTCCGATTCACTTTTAAATCGCACAGGCGCCGTACGGACATCGGGCGGCGAACGCCTGATCCGTTCAATTCTTTCTGTAAAATCCACTCGGCAAAATTCGCCCGACGACTGTTTCATTCGTGACCACGCAAGGTATCAGATTTAAAATCGCCCGGCGTCCACGACATCAAAAAATCTGCCGATTTTATAAAAATCGTTTAATCGGACGGCGCCCGTTTTATTTGTGACCTAGGCATAACACGTGGCCACGACATAGAATATCGAGCGCACCACTTAGTTATCTCGTGGCCACGACTAAGTAACTTGTGGTCACGACATATTGTATCTCGTGCACAAACGCATAAATGTAACCTTTGTGCCCTCGTATATACGGTTTTTGAAGGTGTCATAAACTACATTATTCGCAGAAAAAAATCTTTAAATATAATGAAATAATTTATACTTAAAGGAAACTGACGTTTGAAATAACTTCAATGTGAATGGCGTGATATTTGATGCCGAAGTAAAAGGGACGTATACGTATGTGTTAACATAAACAGTGGGATCAGATCTCCGTGCATGGATAACGGCTGAAATAATTGTGAATGAGCAAGTTAAGGGTACAGCATTTTCCAATTCAGAGGAAATAAATGACGATCACTTTGGAGCGGGAACTAATGTGGTTCATGTTAACGAAAGCGATCATGTTTATGTGAGACGAAGCAATGCTAATAAAGACTGTTGTGTTAGGAATGATAAAACAGTAACTATAACAACTTTTTATGGCTGCTTGCTGCCTTAGATAAAACATTCTATAAGACCTTAGTAGACCTTTCATGACTTTGATTTGTTAACCTTAATTTCATTATTTCTTTCAGGTGTATTTATTAGCTATGTTGTAAACACAATAGGACAATAAATATATTTTTCAAACTATTTCTGATAAGATAAGTTTACTTTAGTATTCTGGTAAATGGGGTTCCTTTCAGAGAAATGAAACAGATATATAATTTTAGTTCAAACAGTACAGACATAAAGGATCTTACATTAGATGTCATACCAGATACAATTCGGTTAAGAAATTATATAAGACAGGCATCTGGCGCGAGTTTGTATAACATTTTTGTAAATTTTTTTCACACCTATAAAATGTAAATAATAAACTTTCAGCGTTTGTATCATGTGATTATCAAACATAAATCATTATTAGATCCAACCTGATCTCATCTCCATTTTGCCAGTCATAAAATTCCTTATTATATCACTTCTTCATTCCATGGATTTTACTTTAAAAGTCCAATCTTATTCATTATTAGAAACCCTTTTCTTTACCATTTGTTTCGTTCTGATTGGCCCAACATATTAAGGTTAATGAAACTTCGCCAAATATGACAGAAGTTTGTTTCATGCCACTCAAAGCAAATGCAAAACTTCTTTCATCCTTACTACAATCTTACTTAAGCTTCTACGTTTATAAAACACATGTTATGTAGTTGTTTTGTTAAATTTAAAACAAACAATTTTAAAAATTCATCATATCAAATTTGATATGATTACACAAAAGACACACGAAAATGTACGAAACTTATCGTACAAAATACCCCATAGAATTGTTAACTGTTATTTAATTGAATTCAAATAATGTAATTAATCACGTATAATGTACGAATTACCATAACTTACAAGGGCGTTTGTTTTCATATTGTATTACAAACAGGGATATTTTTGTCTTAGTTTCAGGTATTGATCGAAGCAAATGATATCCTTATGTAACGTTTTATAGAATGAAAACCGATTTTTTTATCCATTTAGGTCTCACAAAAATAACGTTATTACTTGTTTTGTGTCTTGTAAAAATTCAAATGACTGTACCATAGAAGTATCAGGTATTAAAAATCAAAATAAAATCAAATACGTATTTGTTTTGCGTGGCATCTTATAGAATTAACAAACATGAATAAATTTGTTGCGTCAGAGTATATATCAATCCCATGTTTTCGGCCCATTTCCGTCAAACTTCGGATATTAATGAAAGCTGCGGTGTTTGGATTGGGTGTATATTACGAGCTAAAGATACCGTAAAAATTAAGGGGACTGGCTAAGTTCACAAAATTCCTAGTTTTTCGGTGCCTTGTTTACAATATTTATGGTGAGGTTTGGAGCAAATGGTCTACGGGAGAGAGGAGATGTCGAGTTTCTTCCAAATTTCACTCGTTTTAATTATATCCGCAAAGAGTGTAAAAGAGTTATTTATTCTCATTTGTTATTTTAAAATATGCATCCATATGCATCTATTTCCGTTTTACTGTAAGTGACACAGTACAATGCCAATCAAATCTTTATAAATAAATAAAACAGTTTGTTAGATATGTTTTAATGAGAGACGTCTAAATAAGTGACACAAGTAAGCGCTAATGTTATTCATTCACACAATTTAAAAAAAAAAACAACACGAAATAACAAAATATATGACTCTGGTGATATAAGTATGAATTTCACAAAGCATGATATTGCATATTTTCACACAAAATGGTTTTTATGTAAAATATCTGCATAAAATGCATTAAAATATGAGATCAAATTTTACTAAATGTTCGCTGCTACATAACTAGACAAATGTCTGCAAAGAATCCATTTCGGCAATGTATAATAATTATGAGAGTAGTTATTTTTTATTTATTAAACTAGCAACATTTATTATATTTGTGATTTAATTGATAGTCCTGCTTTAATCCCATTGTTTGCATGTGTGTCCCTATCATTGTTGCCCGCTAGTGGCAAATAACATCCATAGTGGTCTAAACGTAACTTAACTTATTTTGTCCTATACGTATAGTAAAGTAGATAGAAGTTTAATAAGTTCCTCATAACTGAATATAGAATAAAAACACTGGAAAAATTACGACAGATAAATTATAAATATAAATGTGGTCATCTTTTCTATGACATCTTTGTTATCAATGGAAATACATGTGTACATCACACACTTTAAATGCTAAAATAATTATCTTGAGACTCGGGAACAAGTCTGCCAGGATGAGAGGTTGATACATAAAGCTTGTCTCCGGTCTCAAGTTTGAAAGCAGCACCTATAAAACTTGTACATTCAAAACTGTCTGAAGCAACTATACAAAACGATTTTTCTCCTTCTAACAGAACTTGCTCTTTCCTATCTTCTGATATTCTGTAAATGAAATGTTTAAAATTGGCACCCAAAACTCCTGCTGTGCCATTTATGGAGTAGTGTTTTGACTTGAGTTGTGATGAAATGTAGAAATACCCACTCGTTTCTATGTGTATTGTACCATCGTCTGTAACATATCTTAGCCTAGGACAAGAAAACGATGGGAAGGTACTATTCCAAAACAGCATCGAAGAAGCGTTCATTTGATCTACAAAATAAATGACGTATAGAATCGTGGAATATGCAGTCATCTATTCAATGTTAGAGTTTTTGATTAGGATCAGGCGTGACATGACTGCAAACAATCTTTAAATATGATTTTTCATGTTTGAGCGCAAAAATACTTTTTCATTCAATAGCACTTTCGTAACTTATCCTTATTTAAAGGGAACCCATTTTATTTTATTCAATAATAAACTGAATAATTTCAAATCTACAAATCTACAAAATTAATTTTAGTTTACTTTAGTAAGTTTTCAGATTACCAGCCAAACATCTTACAATTTTGATAATTAAAAAAATATGTCTTTAAAACTGAAAGGATATTATCATATCATTATTGACTATAAATCAATTTTGCGTGTGCCTCACATTATTAACAATAATCAATAATTTCCATAGATTACCTTGTTGATTATCACCCAAAATACCAACAAGATTTGCTTCCAGCGGTACAGTCTTCTTTTCGGAACAGTTACATGCCGTCATATCAAGTGATTGATATTCTACATGAATTATACAACATTAAATATTTAGTTTTCTACATTAAGCAAATTAATTAGTACACTAGCGGTAGTTCGGTGTACTTCTCTCAACAATGGGATAAAATAATGGGCTCATACAATGATTGGAATGAGATTTTACATATATATTATCAAATAAAATTTTGTTTCATTTTTGAAATAGTTAAAAGGCATTTGACTTAGCTGAATAAATGAAATCATTATTAGATACTGTTTGTATCAAACAAAGTGGTGCATGTACTGTAAGTATACTATAACTTACCCGGAAAAGCATCGTCATCATACTTTTCTTTAACAATCTGCAAATAAAATAAAAATACAAAGTCTATGGCATATCTAATGGTGTTGAAATACATTACATTTGAATTAAAGAATACTTTATCATGTCAGATAGTTATGATGTTGTTTATGTACCTTTGTTGAAACTTTATTGAGTACAATGCTCATAGATCCACAACATAATCTTGTTTCTTCTGTTTCTTCTGTTTTGTTGACCTTTTCCTTAAGTCCGTCTGGACACTGGTGACTATCATCTTCAACAGATATAAAATTTCCCAACGGGAGGCACATGTTAGATTCCTTTGGAGCCATTATATCTGACATTATATCCGACCTTAATTGTCGCCAGTGACCGGCAAGTGAAAACAGGGATATCAGTTCAGCAGCAGTTGTAGAAATAAGGACGATCAAGAATTGTTTCTGGAATGAAAATAAAGGGATGTATGTTTTAGTAAATTGCATAATTAGACTTTGTCGAAGCCACTAAGTATGCTTTTTGAGTGTAGGTTTTGAACTTTGATTCAACAAGGCGTTACATTCTGTACTTGTTAATTATGTTATTGATAGATCTATCAATATTTTCGTGTCATGAATTAGGAATTTTTCCCTATAAAAAAATAAATATGCTTTATAAGTAACGGCTGAACATCATCAATAGTAACTCAGTCATCAATGTATACATTAGCGTGCAAAAATTATAATATTTTATTTATTTATTTCTGATATTGTATATGTGCTGTTAATTGCAATTTTTGATAAGATGCACTATATGATAAAAGAAATCCGTGTCCGTGTTCAAAACACAATTACGGGCTACTCCGGGCAATTTTACATTATAAACTGGAGAAGTATTACTCATCAAAATAGGTCATTCGTGCAATATTGCCTATAATTTACAATTCAATGCAGATTCTAAACAAGATGATTATCTAATGAGATCAGCATCACATAGTTTAATATCAGTTCAAAGTATGAAATATATATTCATTAGTGTTCCTTACCAACGAAAGATTTGATGTTGTAAAAGTTATGTCAATATCGTAGGCTTTACAGAGGGAAAGTATTAATGTGCTCGTTAATTTCAAACATATTTAACAATAAATATAACAACATGATATGTAGTCTATAAATACCCCGACATTTAACTACTTTAAACTCGACATTATTTGAATAACCAATATTTGAGTTACTTCTTTATGTGACCGAAAGCCAGTTTTCTATATATTGGAAAGAGCTACTCCACTGGAGATAATTGGTTACAAGTCGGTGAATGAAAATTATTGTGTAGATGGACGGGGTTATTTTAACGACAGAAGAATGGCACAAAAATGCCAATATTGCACACTGTTTCTCAATAAATAAGTCCAATAGGCCATGTGTAATAGCTCACAAAGTAACTTTGGTCAATGTTCCTTTTGTCTTCTTCTATAAGTAGTTAAATACATCAAGACAAAAAATTAATTTTTTGAATGCATACCATTCCTAGTTTTAAAGATATCCTCGCCAGAGTACAGGCATGTAAAGTCGTAAAATATGCGATAAAAACGTTTGTTGTTGTGATATTAGTTATTTACATGAATGCGCTGGACATTGATGATTGTTTGATTGACGGTTATTTCATGCACTAATGAGAAATAAATCAGTGTTTATCCAGTTACAAAACACCTTATTTGATTTCCCCATCACTAATACATTGTAAGCGAGTGTATAACCCTAATACAAAGTCAACTTTACACATATTTTATGACAGCTTATCAAATACTGAATCATAAACAAATATATTTAAAATCAAAGACAGTGACATATAATTTTGAATACTTGAACACCTCTGCAGACTTACATAGATAAGCATTCAGTATGCATATGTATATTTATTAGTCACCTATACAATCATAATCTTTTTAAAATAGAAAATTATTAACAAATTTATCCCTTGCTTTTTTTCATTTTAATTTTATTTCCAATTAGTTAAAACAATTTGGCTTTAACCATTGAATGAATGTTACAAACTTTTGTAAAAGCAATTTATAATTATATACTCTATAGACATATTTAGAAAAACATATTTCTTAACATTTGTTGTTGTAAATATTGCTTACAGTGATAAATTTATATAGTGGTCACGTAGGTTGCATGGTAACGAAAGTAAATAAAGAACAATGAACTACTTATAATTACAAACATTCCGTTATCTTTCATGTAGAATTTGATCAATTAAGAAACTTCTCTTGGTGAAATAGTAAAATATATTGTGTTTAATTATATTATCGTTTTAAGTATTGTATTTTTATAACATATTATTAAATAAATACAACTGTTTTGCTTGGATCAAAATGTATTTTACACGAAGACGGATATATGTCACCGTTATGAATTAATCATCACCCAACATCACCTTTTAAATTAATCATCACTCAACATCACCTTATCATAACATTTAATGATATTTTCTTTATCTTCTTGATGTAATTTTTACATTCTCATAGATTTTGCAGTTGCCTTTAGACTTGAAATTTTGCATAATATTGCGCTTTTCTTAATCCAAAGACTATCTGATCTTCGTTGCCACTGATACAGCTGTTTCTTTTTTTTCTAAAAGGTTTACTTCTAACTCTTCGTCATCATTGTCAATTTCAGTTATTTTACCTTTATACCATTTTGTCTCGTAAATAAAAGCAACCTACTCATCGACATTGTAGTGTATATCTTTAAGATCTTCACTCGTTGTATTGTTGATTCTCCAACACCAACTACTGAATGGATTCCTTTAACTGACTTTATTTTCTTCTTTTCTTGTTCTACCTCTGTTTCTAAAAAACGTTCCGATGACACATATCGAAATGTTACGTTATTGTTATTCATGCTGGACTGTGTGGCCCAGTCAAAGGATGCTTTAGTGTCTTGTGTTACTACTTTTCCGCTCCTCATAGCTTTGTCAGCCAACCGCTTACAGGTGCCGCCAAGACCGTCGCACGGACCCTTACCGTGTCCGGCCTCGAAATAATTCCATCGGGCTTTAGTATTGTATATTTCTTGGTGATTGGCAACCATATCAAAATTTTGTTTATTTCTATATTGGCTTGTTGGGGAATCGCCCCAATAGTGGGCTCGCAACAAGTTGTGGTCTATTTCTTCAAAGAGTGGCATAATTTCAATAATAAAAGTCAAAACTGTCTATGCGTTGTGACTCATTTTGTCTGATACTCTATTAAAGCTTCAGTCTATGTTCAAGACTGCCACTTTCTAGGCGATGGTATGCTACAGTAGGGTGTAAGGTATCCATAGTTTGATTAAAATACGCGCTTTAGACCTCTTCCATTGATTTGCAAGTTTTTTTCTCTTCAAAATCGAGTTGTAAAATCATCACATATTTAGGAAGTGTTTCTTTCAATACTCGTATTTGTTCATACTGAATCCTTACTTTGTTAACATGCTGACTACAATCTGCCATTTGTTTCTTGTAATGTTCAAAGAACATTTCACTATTTAAGTTTGGTTCAATTAGTTTTGTCACATACTTTTTCTTCCCCTTTTCTTCAACTTCAATTCTTTTCAATGGCATAAAAGTTACTGATTCGTTTTAAATCATTTTTTACCTTGTTTACCTTGTAGGATTAACTGGTATTTCAATATTTTTTATTCTGAGAGCTTTAAGCGTCAGGGAAGCATTAAATTGGTGTTCAGTGCAAAGACAACTATTCCTACTTGAAAAAGCAGTGGTTAAGACATACTTTGGTCGTGATAATAATATTGATTGTTGGATGTTCTGCCTTAAATTTTGCATACAAGTTTGTTAAGTAGTCAGATATGATATAAGTCTGAACTTTTACACTTTTTTTTTGTTGAATGACTGTAAATATTTTATTTCACAATTAAACAGCTTTGTTTAGGAAAACCACACATAATTCTGTCAATCTCTTTAAGTGGCGCCATATAGTCGACTAAAACATCTCACATAAACTTTCGTTACTTGATCATAACGAAGGTTTACAATATTTAATATTGGTAAATATAGGTGATGGCTGTTTTTATGGTTTATGAGGTATATCATATCAAAAATATATTTATTGATGTTACAATATCAAAATTGTAATTCAATTTGAATAACATTTAATAAAAATACATACTTTTTATTAGGAAGTAAAAGAAACACCTACTTTTGTTTACATCGCGGGGATTTTTTAAGACTTTCAGACGTCCTGGGCGATCTCGTGGTAGTTTCCAATGTCAAATACAAATACAAGACATTTATATAGCGCAAAAATGTATTAAATATTCGATTGCGCTGTACATTATTAAGACTATATACACATATGCTTGATCAAGACACTCCCAAACCCAGTCTCGATGGCACAGCCAATCTACAACTCTAGTTGAAAAACAGTCCAAACAAGTATGTTTTAAGTTTGGCCTTAAACTGATTTTCATTGGTAATGTCCTTCAGATAGTCTGGCAATGAATTCCACCATTTAGGTCCCACAATAGCCAAGGATCTATCAGCAAGTTTTGAATTTGTTGATGGTATATCAAACCGAATGTGGCTAGATGATGAGGATCTCAGTCTTTTCCTGTACTGACTCTGGCATTTAGTGAACAATTTACGAAGATACAATGGAGCGGTGCCATTTGCAACACGAAACACAGTCACAATAACTTTGTACATGATTCTTGCTCGAATTGGAAGCCAGTGGAGTGATTTCAGCACTGGATTGATAGTAAGCAGCTCCAGTGACAATTCTAGCAGCATAATTCTGCACACGTTGTAATTTATCAAGTTGATAGGCTGGAATATCAGCGAATAATCCATTGCAAAAGTCTAAATGTGAATGAATCAAACCATGAACAAGGATTTCTGCAGATTTCTGAGTGAGATGTTTTCTGATTGCTTTCAAATTTCTTAACTGCATGTGTGCAATCTGACACTTCTTTTGAATATGGATGTCAAAACTTAAAGTGCTGGTCATCTGTACTCCAAGGTCTCTCACATTGTCAACACAGTGGACTTCGACCCCACCAACATTGACACTGGAAATGTTCAATTTCTTCAGCTGATGTCTTGTACCATAAATGTCGTGTGACATCATAAGATTCCAATGACGTCAAAGTTATGAACCAATTACTCTGTTCTCGATTTGTGTGGACATTTGTTATAGGGTAACGAATATTTATGTAACGAAGGTTCAAACTATCGCAGGTTTTGCTTTAGTAAGTGCAAAAATATAACGTGAATGTTGTACAGAACGCTCGTATGTTTTTTGTTATATTAGGCTCTTTGTATCAGGAACATCACGGATATAAGGATAAGACCAATTTTGATTTAAACAGGCTGTCACGAAGGTGTTTTTATTTACTTTTTAAACAACATAATTATGTATTTTTTAAGAGAAAAGTATGATTTATTGGTTAACTCTAGTATAATGTTAATTTCTTCCCGATAATTGTGATGGTCATATAAAGCATTAAACATTAATACATGCCGTGATATTTTGCACCTTTGAATAAAAATTCCTATCATTTAAAAATGGATTAACGAAGGTTTTAAGAATATGACATATATAAGCAACATTGAATAGAGTTGAGTTAAAATATTCAATATATTATATAAATCTTGCATGAATGTTGTACTCACGTTGTAAATGCATGTATCAATGTCTTATATCTAATTTACAACCAAACCTTAAAATTATATGTTAAATATATAACGATACAAGTGAAGAAACGCTAAAAGCGACAGTAACGAAGTAACGAAAGTTTACTGTTATTATACACGTTTTAGATATATTTCAAAACCATCATGTTAATCTCGGCTGATTTCTTTTTTTGTCTCAATACATACTGATATATATAGTTAGGAACATACGCACACGAAAAATATAAGTTACACTGAATTAATATTTCTCAAATCTTTAAAAATGGACCTATTTATTAAAAAACAGTGGCAATTCCATTCTTAAAACCAAAATTGACAGTATCACACATATAGTCAATAATCAAATTAAAAGGTTCTTTTTTTTTATCTGTAGATAAATATCAATATCAAAGTAAGCAACCACCGTCAGTCACAACAGTCACAAATAATCACTTGAAAGACTTCCAGATGGACATAAAATAGAAAGGTTTTAAATGACACAAATGCTGAAGCAGGGAGTATAACGGAATTATAATTATTATTAACAAATAAGGAACACTACTAGATGATATATACATTAATGTCGACCTTGGACATTGTTTTCAATTTAAAATGATGGGAATTAAAACAAATATATAGATTCAAGACATTTTTCAATTAAAAGAACCGTCAATTGACATACACTTTTAAACGTTAGGTATGGCGCCAATTAACTAATCGAAGATCAAAATAATCCTCTCTAGGAAATACATTAAAATTAAAGAAATATTTATTTTTTCATGTCAGATTATTATGGACTACTATTCGTTAAAATTTGAAAGCATGGTTAAGCCGTTTAAGACTAAAAAGAAAAAAAAAGACACAAAAATTAACTCTACCTGATATGTAAAATGTGATCGTTCTTCCATAATTGGACTGTTTGATTCCATTTTAAATTAAGTTCACTTGAAAAATTCTACACGAAAATTACTAACATCAAGGTATCTATAAATATCACCAGCAGCTAAGAGATAAATACCTTCATATAACAAAAAATGGTTAAACACAAAAGCAAAGTCGATATCCAATCTTACAGCCCATATTTACATTCCTGTTTACTATCGGTTTAAATCAAAATTGACGATATGTTATCTTATAGTTTATCGCGTACATTTTTACAACTTAAACTAATCCATTCAGCAAAAGAGCGGTTGTGTTTTCGCTTCGTTGGTGTAAGAATTTTTGTTCGAATTCTTGGAATCATGGCATTTGCTTTTCACAACTAACTGGTTATTAGTTCCTCGTGAATTTCATGCACACGAGGCTCTTTGGAAACAATACTTTTCAGTCAAATTCACATTCAAGAGTTAAACTTAACCCAGTGGTAAATGACTGAATATTATATATAAATAAAAATGGAAGAAAGAAAGATAAATCATATAATTATAAACAATGATAAAAAGTCAATTGCTAATAAAATTTAGAGTTTCAAATGTTATGTATATAGGCTTTATTATAAATGGTTTTAGTATCTATGTCCTGAATAGTTTAGTAGATAGAGCGCAGTTATGTATATAGTCTTTATTATAAATGTTTCTATTTTCTATTTCCTCAATAGCTTAGTAGGTAGAGCGCAGGATTGATAATCTCGAGGTCGTGGGCTCGATACCTAGTCTTGCCACGACCTTTTTAATTAGTTTGTTCTTTTGATGTTTATATAATTTTTCAAGTTCATTCATCTTCCTTCAAGAAAGTTCATGTTCATTCTGGAATAGTTTGGATTCTGTTTTCTGTGTGGGAAGTGTTTTGGATATGTTGTGATATTCTGCTGTAGACATTAGACATTGGTTAAATTTGGACAATTGAATTTCGAACTGTGAGTTAAACTTTAGGATATTTGTTAAATTTGAAGCGTTGATAATTGTGAATTAAACTTGACTTTCATATTTTTTGTATTATTGTACATAACTTCTTTAATTAAAAATTGTAAAATTTGTTCCTGCGTCATCTTCTCTGTTGCGTTTAGCTCGAAACACAAATAGAATAAATAATAATGTTTAAATCTGTTTAAAGAGGGTTAGAAATCGAAACGCCTATTTGAAATTTAAATTTCAGCTGTGCAAAACATCAAATTCATAACGCTTTCAAACTACGAAAATTGAAAGTTCAAAACATACTCAGAAAGTGTGCACAATGGCAGATCTGAACTCGGAAAACATTTTTCGTAAGCTTACCGCTTAATAACTTAACCCCTATGCTCCTCGGTTTTAAATAACCCACTTTTTATTATATTGCATAAAATGTAAAATGTCATTATTGAATAAATTGCACAATCCATACTGATCTGATAGCAACCAAATTATGTAAACGTTATCGCATTCGACACATAAGTGTAGTTACGTAAGTGTTTTCTGCAGTGGTATAATCGGGACATTACTTCTGGATACGGCTGTGGGTATATTGTATCATTTTCATAATATATTGATATTCCAGTTATTATGCCCCCTTTGAAGAAGAGGGGGTATATTGTTTTGCTAATGTCGGTCTGTCGGTCCGTCAGTCTGTCGGTCTGTTTGTCGGTCTGTCCGTCTGTTCGACGGTAGACCACATGGTTTCCGCTGATTATCTTAAAAACTATTTATCACAATGTCTTCATATTTCACATAGTGATTGGTCATAACAAGTAGATCACCCCTTTTTATTTTGGGGCACAAGGTCAAAGGTCAAGGTCACAGGGGCCTTAAATGTCAGATTGGTTTCCGCTGATTATCTTGAAAACTATGCATCACAAAGTCTTCATATTTCACACAGTAATTGGTCGTATTAGTAGATGACCCCTGTTAATTTTGGGGTTACAGGGTCAAAGGTCAAGGTCACAGGGGCCTTAAATGTCAGAATGGTTTCCGCTGATCATCTTGAAAACAATGCCTCACAAAGTCTTCATATTTCACATAGTGATTGGTCATAGTTTGTAGATGACCCCTGTTAATTTTGGGGTCACAATGTCATAGGTCAAGGTCACAGGGGTCTTATATATCAGAATGTTTTTGCTGATTAATTTTGAAAAGTATTCATCACAAAGTTTTCATATTTCACATAGTGATTAGTCATAACTTGTAGATGACCCCTGTTAATTTTGAAGTCACTAGGTCAAAGGTCAAGTCACTGGTGCCTTAAAATGTTAGAAAGGTTTCTGCTTATTATTTTGGTTACTATTTATCACCAAGTCTTCGTATTTTACATATAGATTAGTCATAACTAGTAGATAATCCCTGTTGATTTTTGGGTCACCAGGTCAAAGGTCATGGTCACAGGGTCCTATGATTTCAGCTCTTTATCTTGAAAGTTATGCATTACAAAGTCTTCATAATTCATATACTGATTACTCATAATTAGTTAGTGACACCTGTTGATTTTGGGGTCACTAGGTCAAAGGTCAAGGTCACAGGGATTTCTGTGAATGTTAGTATGGTTTCTGCTCATTATTTTGAAAGCTTTTATCACAAAGTCATCATATTTCTAATATTGATTGGTCATAACTATTAGATGACCCCTATTGATTTTGGGTCACTAGTTCAAAGGTCAAGGTCACAGGGCCCTTAAATGTCAGAATGGTTTCCACTCATTATCTTGAAAACTATTTATCACAAAGTCTTCATATTTTCCTTTTTTCATAACTGAACACTTTCATGTACCCATTTTTGGCAAGTTTCTATAACAAAATAACCAATAATATGAGTCAAAGGGGGGCATATGCATCGTTCGAAATTTCTTGTTGATTAGGTTATTGTATATCTTTTTATTTGCCTTACTAATAAAAAAGCTTAGCCCAGCCACATAGTTTCAAAAAAAATGAACTCTTGAACAAAGTATATCGTTATGCTATGCAATTAAACATTGTATATGAAATAATTCATACCCTTCATCTGAGTCGACAACTCCTTGAAAAGAATTGGTATACTGCCATATTTCGACATCTTAGGAGAAGCACTTGATAATGACGGTTTAAAAGTGATAAGGATAGCGACTCATTCAGGCTTGGGTTTATATAATAAGGTTTGTTCATAAAGGCTTTGTTCCAATTTGGTTTCCATTCCATAATGTAAGTTAGTTTATGGTAGGTTTAAAATCACCATTTTGGTCATTTAAAGGTAACTCTTATGGTTGAGTATATAGAATTTCTTTAGTCAAAGCATCTACTTTTTCATTTCCTCGTATTCCTACGTGGCTTGGATTCTGACTTTGTTTTTAACATATCGTGAATACGCAACAAATATGATGAAACATATATGACGGGGCTAAATCAATAGCCTTTGCTTTATAAGTAAATATATGTGATTTAATAGGTAGTCGCATTCTAAATGTAAACTTATTTTCAAAGACGGCTGCACCTACTTTGCAACCCTCTTTAGAACCGTCTGTGAAAGTATGAATAAAATCAGAAATGAACAATATGCAAGCATCATTTAACCACTCAAGATTTGAAGTTCGTTCTCATAATTTAGTACTGTTGTTTACGCGTTCTTACAGCACATAAAACTATTAGTCTCGTCCAAAATCGGTAATTTTCTTAAACCTCTCCTCATATACTAACATTTTTCGTAGGTTAGACAGACAATTCGCCAAGTGTACTAGGTATACCGCGTAATACAATTATACTGTACTGAGTATAAAAAGGGAACTCAAGACATTAATCAAAATTCAGTTTCTGAATTATGTTGGCTCATTCCCATTAAAAATTTTGTAAAGTAATGTAATTAAAGTATCAAATATAACACTTAAGTGACTTGATAAAATTTTGTTTTCGACATAAGGTCCCGTTCCTTATTTATAAATGTAAATAAAATGTTATAAAACATTGTTGGACTATTTGAGAAGAGAACGCATCTGTTAAATCTACATTTAACAAGGTGCTACCGGAGTCAAAAATAGGATTTGCAGCTGTGTACGAGTCCAGTAAAATCAGTATTGTATTTAACAATGTAAACATTGTTATGACCTCTTTATTTCACCACCATTTCATTACATTTTGATAACTATTTGTTACTTCTAGCAAAATATGAGTGACACAGTAGAATGACAGACTCACACAAGGAATTGTGTCCATAATAAAAGGTCTGTCACTTCATAAATGAATTTGTTGATAATATTCAGTATCATGTGACTTGTGAACACAAATCACGAAAGAATAATATATGCATTGTGTGGGTAAGTGTTGCATACACGATCTGATATCACATATGTGTATACAGTATAGTAGATAATAAATTGTTGTAGAATAAAAAGTTGTTATAAATCATTCACATGTGTTTGCTAATTCTTAATTACTTTATCAAAAAATGTTTAAAAAAATATTTTTAACAAAATCGAAATGATACATTTTTATTGTTTTGATAAATATTTGAAACACTAATGAAAAATGTGCCCTTAGAAGACCAATTCACTTTATTAATACAAATGTTCGTTAAATATGTTTAATATGAGGAATTTAAATGAATAAAAAATAACAATAATGTTATTGATCCACATCTCAACAAAGTTTTCTGAAGAACTCATTTTATTTCCTGCTCTTCTACAAAGTTCATATTTTCACATGTATAAATTTTGAGGACCGAAATTAACAAACATAATGAACATGGTGATAAAAGTATGAATTTCACAAAACATATTACTACAAAATAACAAACAAAAGGGGGTTGTTTTAATGTAAAATACCTGCAATAAAATAAATGTGAGATCAAATGTGAGATCGTTTTTACTACGTCTGCTTAATTAATCCTGAAGGTCGATGATTGCTAAGAAACCCTTTCGACATGTAGTACGAGCGTAGTTCTTAACTACACAAGCAATATTAATTGATTTACGGTCTCAGGTATAGTCCAGCTTTAAGTGATTCCTTTGTTTTCATGTATGTCCCTATCCTTGTTGCCCGCTAGTCCAAATATCAGCCATAGTGGACTGGGTGAATTCTTCTAAAAAATACTTAAATTCGTCCTATAATTTTATTTTAATATAAATGACGAAGAAAATTAAAAAGACTGAAAATACTCAAAACAACATACATGTCTATTGTTTCTTTAGCTTAATTTTTATCTATGGAAACATATGTGCACATTACACACTATAAATGCTAAAATAATTATCTTGAGACTCGGGAACAAGACTGCCTGGATGAGAGGTTGATACATATAGCTGGTCTCCGGTCTCAAGTTTGAAAACAGCACCAATAAAACTTGTACATTCAAAACTGTCTGAAGCAACTGTACAAAACGATTTTTCTCCTCCTAACAGAACTTGCTCTTTTCTATCTTTTGATATTCTGTAAATAAAATGTTTAAAGTTGGCGCCCGAAACACCTGCTGTGCCATTTATACTGTTGTGTTTTGACTTGAGTTGTGATGAAATGTAGAAATACCAACTCGTTTCTACGTGTATTGTTCCATCGTCTGTCAGATATCTTAGCCTAGGGCAAGAAAACGATGGGTAGGTGTTATTCCAAAACAGCCTTGAAGAAGCGTTCATTTGATCTACAAAATAAAATGACATGTAAGATATGAAGTTATCCGATTAACGAACTTAATATGGAAAACAGGTGAGTTCATGAAATGTAGATTTAATTGACTGCAATTTCAATAAAAGCATTTTGTATTCAAATTGCGCTCAGAATATGTACATTTTTTCCAGAAACATCTGTTTATATTGATTGCAACATTGAAAAGATTATTTTCATATTTCAAGACTTTTTCATTAATTTTCCTTTTTTAGAATACAATTTGAGCAAATGTATGAATAATATTTTAATAAAATATACTACAGCTTAGAATGAATAAGATTATTCATACAAAAACAACGTAAACAGTGTTGATTTATTATTATTAGGATTATCACTGCCTCCAGAAAAGTATGTTAGTCCTTTTTAGGCCTGCCTGAGTTAAATGTTAATATTTGTTCATATTGTGCTTAATTATGACAAAGCTTACATAGTGTTAAACTGCTTTACGATCTGCCTTTATTCCCATGATACATGTATATGGGTATCCTTTTTTTTAAATTAATTATCAATAACATAATTGTGTTAATTTATTACCTTGTTGATTATCACCTGAAATACCTACAAGATGTGTTTCCAACGATACAGTTTTCTTTTTGAAACAGCTAAATGCCGTGATGTTTCATGGTGCAATTTCTACATAAAAATAAAAATTAGATATTTAGTTTTCTACAATAAGCACATAAATTAGTACACAAGCAATAGTTCGGTTTACTTCTCTCCGAAAGAGGATGATATAACGGCTCATACAATGAAGGGTTTGAGGTTGTACACACTTATAATCAATTAAAGTTTTGTTTGTTAGAAGGCATTTTAGATTGATGAAAATAGATCATTACTGTTTGTATCAAACAAAGTGGTACAGGTTCTGTAGGTAAGTATACTATAACTTACCAGGAAAAGCATCGTCATCATACTTGTCTTTAACAATCTGTAAATAATATTAAAATACAAAGTTCATGGCATATTTTATGCTGTTGAAATACATTACATTTGAATTAAAGAATACTTTATCATGTCAGATAGTAATGATGTTGTTTATGTACCTTGGTGGAAACTTTATTAAGGATAATGATCATAGATCCACAACATAATTTTGTTTCTTCTGTTTCGTTGACCTTTCCTTAAGTCCGTCTGGACACTGGTGACTATCATATTCACCAGATTCTTTGATAAGTTTTTCCAAAGGGAGGCACATGTTGGATTCTCTTGGAGCCATTATATTCGTTCTTAATTGTCGCCAGTAATAGGCAAGTGAAAATAGGGGTATCAGTAAAACGACAGTTGTAGAAATCAGGACAATAAGTAATGTTTTCTGGAATGGAAATAGAGGGATTAATGTTTCAATAAAGTTGATTCAGTATATTGCATAAGAAGCGTTGTAGCAACCACTTTGTATGCTTTTTAAAGTGTAAGGTTTACATTCTGTACTTGTAAATTATATTTTTGATAGATCTGTCATGAGTAAGGAATTGTTCCATATAAGAAAATAAATATGCCTTATAATTAACGGCTGAACATCATCAATTATAGTAAATCAGTAATGAATGAGCATATCGGCCTGGGGAAAAAAACAAAAAATTATAATTGTAATTTATTTGTTTTAAATTCTATATCCGTGATGTTTATTTGCAAGTTTAGACTAGATGCGTTATATGATAAAAAATTCGTACCCGTGTTCAAAACACAATTACGGACTACTACGGTCAATTTTAAATAATGTACTCGAGAGGAAAAGCTCATCAAGATAGGGTCAATCTAAAGTATGGTATATATTCCTATATTGTCCTTATCAACGAAAGCCGAATTTTCACATTGTTATATTGTTAAGGTTATGTCAATATCGAAAAGTTAACGGGGTTAATTATGAAACGTGCAGATAAAATATATTTGATTGTTTATACAGGAAAATGAAATGCAGTCTATAAATACCCCAAAGTTTATTTCGCTGATAAAATTTATCATCTTGTAATAAATTATATTATAAAACTGCATGGATATTTAAGGTACTTTCCCTATACACTTCTGTATTTATTCAACATGATTTGATCAAACAATATTTGAGGTACTTCTGTATGTGTTCGAAAGCCATATTCCTGGAAAGAGGGTTTTCAAGTAGGATAAATCGTAATAAGTAGGTGATCATGGTGAATCATTGTTGAGATGAACGGAGAGATTTTAATGACAGAAAAATGACACAAAAATGCAAAAAGGTTACAATGACATAGTTACAAGTACTTCTTAAGAAATAATATCGTTTTCAGTGGTGTTTATCGACTATTTATTACCGGTGAGGGTTTAATGTTTATGAATTGTCCACGAAGACCGTAGGCCTAAGCGATTAATATTTTGCATCGAAACGACAAGACCGGTGTCAAATAGCCGATAAACACCGCTGAAACTGATATTTTTTCAGTCTAACAAGTGAGAATAAGAAAGATCACTAACATTATTTTTCAAGCGGACATAGTTTCCGCTGTTGATTTTCGTATAACGCTGTTCTATTTCCCACCTTATTGTTGCTAATGTATAAAGATATTATAGATCTACAAAAATGTTTTACATTATCATTCAAGTTTTAAATATTTTAAATTTACGTTTCAGACTGGATTATATTACGTTTACACCAGTACTTGACTAATCATCCTTCAAACCCCACCAATGTCAGTTTATATTGACGTTATTCTGGTGCCTTTATGAATGAGTTGTATTCTTAGGATGACGTCATTACGTTTCATACGAACTTGCCTTTATAAACTTATCAACTGGTAAGTATGAAACCTACGTCGTTAGTATATTTGAGGTGTTTTATTTTATGTTTTTCAGTGGATTACTGATTTATCCGTGAAAATTATATTTGATAATTTCACAGTGAAAATTATCAAAATATAATTTCACACTTTTCAATGACGAAACTACTTTTTTAAGATTTTCCCCATGTGGTACCTCAATTTTATTTTTGCTGACAATTCTAACAATGTCAGGCTGTTTAAAGAAAAAGCAAAGCTGAAATTGATAAATAACTTAAATTTCAATAGAAATTAGAAAAAAAGAAAACTAATTCTATTCATTCTAATTCAAGTCACCAAATTTCTTCTCTAATTTTTTTGTTTCATTTTTACAGTCTGAAAAATACATTCCTTCCACATGCAAAACTCTCTTGATGACATTTAGGCATATTAAAGTATCCTACGAGCAATAACTGCCGTATGCTTTATGAGAAATTGAAAAGCAATGACAGCCATCAGCCCGAAGAATAAGTAAACAACCCAGCGTTCCTGAGCCAGCTTTCAAGTTTTCAATTTTCCTAGCTGCTTTTTGAAATGTTTTCAAATCTGTCAACACTTATTTGTTGTCTGTTACAATCCTCAAATAAGTTTTCTTTCTTTTAAAAAGGTGTATGACTAACAAATCCAAATGATATCCCTCTGAATCAAACACATTTTTTTCCTCCAGTGAAATACACAACTTTAAAAAATGGCTGCCGCTTACATTTAACAAATCCAGGTCTAATATAAATTCGCATTAAGTAACTGAAATATGGATGGATGGTTGGACCTCTTCTGCTACAAAAATTGTTTATTTTTATTATTAAAACAAGCGGTCATTCATATTTTTTTTAATAAAATGAATAATATCACTGTCATTTAACGTTGATTGTCGAACTTATTTTTCAGCTTAAGACTTCTTGTATTTAATGAGAAATTCCGACTAAATGGCTCTCTCAATGGGGAAAACAGATTTTAATAGTAACGTAAATATTATGGAAATTTCGTTTTAACTTGTTTTTAAGCATAAAATAAAAAAGAAAATTTGTTTGTTTGTTGTGTACGATGTAATTTTATTTCATCTCGTGAACTTTGAAAACAGTATTCTCACGAGTCGATGAAATAAAATTTCATCTTACACACAAACAAACAAATATCCTCTATATCTTAGAATCATGTGCAAAGAAAATATTAAATGAACGGAAAATTAAAAGAAAATGCGTTATTGTTGTTGCGTTAAAATCATTGTAAACTATCTTACCGCAGAGAGGAAAAAGCGGCATATTCATGTATAACGTAGACCCTACAGTGAAACAACAAAATATATTGTTATGTAACCATTTAAAAATTAAAAATAAAACGTTTACCTGAAATGTGAAATGTGATCTATCTTCCCTAATTGATTTGTTCGATTCCATTATTAGTAAACTAATCACACTATACACGCAAACGATGATACTGGATATGAAACGGTAAGAAGGAAAAAACATATAATGATTTTGATCTATAAATTAACTAGTTTTAAAGCTTCGATCTGTAAATCTGTAAATAAACTAGTAATAAAGTTAACCAGGAAGTAAATTCATGGCTATATTGGCTTAACTATAATAATTGCATTGTAACATGGCCAGCGATTGACAGAGTTGAAAAGAACAGGGAAAATCGTAAGATTCAATGGGACATGAAGTGACTTGATGAATTTGGGATATTTTTAAGTATGAAAACTAATTTGTTACAAACATTATATTGTTTTCTTAAGAAAATGAAATAGTTCATGTATTTCAATATTTTGCTACCGCTATATAACAAGATCATTTTTTATATGTCAAGCATTTCATTCTCCTAGAAGAATAACCTCTTTAGCACGAAAACTCAATTTTAGGTAGGATTAGGGACCATTTCCATGTGAGTCGATATCAATACGAGAGTCTGACCTAAACTATGTCGTACTTTTGCTCTGGGAGGCGAAAGAACACTATGATATGAATACACAAAAGGGATATGGTATTTCGGTCTTAGCTAAACATTAAAACACAAATAGTATTAAAAATTCTTGGAATTGTTGACTTAGTTTATTTCATTTTATCGTGATTAAGTCCACCTTAATTAGGTAAATGTTTAGAAATAAAAGAATAGTTTAATATACTTTATAAACCGAAAGTGCTTAAAACCCGTTTCACACAGAATACGGTTGGGCACACTGTTCCCATACAGTATACTCGGTTAAACACGGATTGACTGGTACGAGAATTTAGCTTCAACCGTGCCTGGGGATTAGTTGGCACGAGTTAGACTCGATGGTAGCACGTGCATTTACGAATAAAAGATCGATATACTCAAGAAAGTTTTGAACACGATTTTTATACGACTACATACGATTGTTGTACGGTTCCAAGTACGGTCGGGTACGATTAAACACGATTTTACTCGATTGACTCGACTTTTACAGGTTTTACATAAGGTCCCGCCGACTTTTGTACGACAAAATGCTCGAAATATCACATATCCCTGTATGTTTTGATAAGCCTACCAAAGGTCATGATGAACAATGTCTTTCGTCCGCCCATTTATCTATAATATATACAATTCTGGTAAAATCCAATTAACCATTGACAAAATTATAACTAGAGAATATCTTGTAATCAGATGTCTACTAGTTCATCATCATTTATTGATTTCCTGCTTGAATGCTCTTTGATGTTTTGCATCAATGTTTTTTCTTGTTTTATCATGATATGCTATTTGCCTCGAAACATGTTGAGGACATTTTGAAAGTCGATGAAAGTTTCTGTTTTGGCTTATTTACATATGACTTTTTATATTTCTTACCATGATTAGTTGTTGCTATTTGTAAAATATGAGTAGCATATGGTGAAAAAGAAAATGTACATGCTTTGATATTTTAAATAATTTTATATTACTAACTACAATAGTCACATAAATAGAACAATGTTGCACTACTGTCGTATCACATTACATTTACAAGTCTTGTAAGCCTTGTTTGTATTGGAATTACTTTCCGTACTAGGTAGGCATCAGTGAAAGTATTTTTTTTTTTAATTGATATCTGGCCCCCATTTCATTGACAGTGCATACGATAAGTATAACTATACAAAAATGATTTACAAAACATCCGGAATAATGTACAATAGTACTTAATCTGAATAGAACATGACCTGTGGGTAGAAATGATTTAGTAAGGTATCTGTAATGAACGCTTTTTTTTTGCGCGGAGCTTCTCAATTTCTGCATTGCAGCAACATTTGTACTTGTTAAGATATTCTTCAGTTTCGAATGAGTTACATAAAACAATCAAGCTGCAGAACTAAGTTTGATTACAATTGTAAATTTTATATGTATGGCCTTCTTTGGTATATATATGAATTTCCGTGTATAGAGCATACGAGTTGTTCTTTAATGACGCATAAGACGGTACAGTAATGAACTAGTCATGGTCAAAGATAGAAATATATACGGCTCATTGTGAAAGCATTTTGTTGTTCGCGAATACAATACAAGTATGAATCATAGTATAGAATAAATGCACCGGATTATATTACACGCAAACCCATTCCGCCATTCCTCAACATTTTCCAATATAAACTATTGGTCAAACACCATTTAAACACGCAATCGTTTGAAATATATAGCAAATTCAGCTCAACTTAACAATGAAAGTATGAGCATAATGTCATTTTAAACAAAGGTTTCTTTTTTTAGTTACACAGTACAAACATAAATGATCTCACATGAGTTGTCATGTCATATAAAATTTGATTACACGAGTTAAAGAAATAAATTAATATAACACAGACATCTGTCGTGCTTTATAATATTTTATTGAACGAGTTTAATAAGCAATTTTATTTCACACCTATCAAAATGTTATAAACTTAAAGCGTTTTGT